TTATAAATGATACCTCATTAAAACCTTACTAAGAAAATCCAGTGGAATAAAACCTAAGCGAAGGAAAAAGAGTATGGATACTCCTCCAAATGATGATTACTAAATATCTTTGAACCAATCTCATGAATTAATTTCTTGAATATAGATGTTAGTAATGCTTTTGTGAATAAATCAGCCACATTGTCACTTGAGCGAATTTATTGAATATCGATGTCGCTGGTCTTTTGAAGTCGTACATGAAAGAATTTTTAAGAAATATGCTTCGTTCTATCACCTTTGATGTAGCCTCCTTTGAATTATGCAATACAAGCTGCATTATTTTCATACAAAATTGTTGAATTATCTTTTGTTGAAGTTAACTCGCATGATGCTAGAATATGATGGGTTGTGATCATCAATCATACACATTCTCAGCTTATTTCATGGATTATAATAATTTCAAAATAATTTGAGGATGATATGGTCAATGATTGTTTCATAGATTTTTATGATATAGTTGTTCCTCCACGTTTAAGCACATATATGTTTATGATTTAGCTTTACTTAAATCAGAGAGATAACCAGTATCTGCATATCTTCCTAAAGTAGATCCCGATTTTGAGTATAAAATAATCTCAAATCAATAGTAACTTTCAGGTAACGAAAAATGTGTTTAACATCATTCCAATACCTTTGAGTTAGTGTAGAGTTATATCTAACAAGAAGATTTATAGAAAAACTGTATTGGTTGGAGTGCAGTTTGTAAGATAAGTTAATGCTCCAACTGCACTTAGGTATAGTATTTCAGAACCAAGAACCTTTTCTCCACCTTTAAGTGGACGGAATGGATCTTTTTTCACATCAAATGATCGAACAACCATAGGTGATACTAATGGATGTGCATTGTTCATATAAAAGCGTTTTAAGACTTTTCTGTATATGTTGATTGATGAACAAATTATTCTTCCGCGAAATGTTCAATTTGCAACCCGAGATAAAATTTGATTTTTCCTAAATCATTCATTTCAAATTCATTTTTCAAATAATCTGTAGTTTTGTTGAGCTTTTCAGGAGTTCCGATTAAATTTAAATCATCAACATAAACTGTCACAATCGTAAATCTAATATTAGATTTCTTCATGAAAACACATGAGCAAACATCGTCATTTTGATAACCCTCTTTCAAAAAATTCGCTAAGACGATTATACTACATGTGTCCGGTATGTTTTAATCCATATAATGATATTTGCAATTTAATTAAGAACATAGTTCTCGAGTATGTATCATTTGTTCCTAGCATTTTCGGTCTTTTGGAGGACTCTCTCTCTCTCTCTCTCTCTCTCTCTATATATATATATATATCCACTCTTTTGTCGAGTGTACCAACCTTCGATCTGCGGCATTCACATTCAAACAATCATTGTCTCGAGTCAAAGGTGACTCAACAAGGCTTCCACCAACAACGTCCTCGTGTGGGCTCTTCAACATCGCTTCGTCATTGACTCAAGAGCGCCACCGACTTTTGAATTGCCTATCATCGGTCATTCCACTCTTCTTTTAAGTAGATAAGTCAAAAATCAGATTAATCATACCGTCCTGAGTTGGGGTCTCCTACCATCCCATGTTGCTCACACCAACATGTCTCAATCTAACATCACTAGCCATCCGCTTTAACCAAGCTCACTTCTATGTCTCCACCAAGGTAATGTAAAATTGCTTATCCTATCAAGCCAACGAAATTGGAGTGTGTTGCTTGTGGACGCTCTCTTTACTCACTTGCCTATTGGTCAAGTATTAAGCCAGCTGAGGTCTCTGTCGCCAATCTACACCACATGCATCATTCTCTCCTATAATAACTTAGCGCTCAGTACAGTCAGGCTGAGTCGCTTGATGAACTATACGAAATCACGATAAAGTGAACTCCTTAAGTATAAAATAAAGAGAATAGCAGGCAGTGCACCTTTGCCTTCGGTGTGTGTGCGTGCGTGTGTGGGTGTGGGTGTGTGTGTGTATCAAGTGAATCATACAAATAGGTAGTTACTATATCCACAAGGCGCATATCGAGCTTTTGTAACCATAAAAACCTTGAGCTGGGAATCTGGTTTTGTATCTTGTAATTTTATTATTTTTATTTATTTTTTGTACAAAAATCCATTTATATTCTACATGAATTACATTTTTTAGGTGTTCGAATTACAAGTCCAAATACCTTTCGTTTCTCTAAGGAATTCCATTCCGCCAGCATGACCTCTTTTCATTTTGACCAGTCATTTCTGTTTTGACAATTTTTAACAAACTATGGTTCAAGATTCTCATTTTGCATAATATCAAGAGCCACGTTAAAAGCAAAAATTATTGTCTATAATTACATTACTTCGTTCCTTTAATTTATGAGACAACATATAATTTATTGAAATCTTATTATTTTTTGACACTTGTGATTTTTCAAGAACCATATTTTCAATATTTGATTGATTAACCTATTCATTCTGATATTACTATTTTGAATTTTTTAGTTAGCTTTTTTTTGTACTTTTCTTTTTCAAGTTACAGAGTATTTTGAATCAACCGATCGATCATGCTTCTAGCGTATTTGAGATTCATTTACTACAGAAGATTGTTCTACAGGGACATCATTTTTTGCTGGAGTATATGACTTTTCCACTTTTCTTATCTCAACAAATATATCAGGCAATTGATTTGCAACTTTTTGTAAACAAATGATTTTTTCAACATCTTACTCACGTTGATTGCTGGATGGATTAAATTGAGATAAAGTCGTTTCATTCTAATAAATTTTATCTTATTTTTCAAGATGTAATTTTTTCCCTCCCAAAGTTAGAAAACTCATTTCATTAAAATGACAATATGCAAATGTGCAGTAAATAAATCACCCATTTAAGGTTCAAGATACCTAAATATAGATGATGAATCAAAACTTAACCTAATTATAGATGATGAATCAAAACTTACATAAATCCCAAGTCTAATTCGGTGACCTATTTTAGTACATTGTGAGGGTGAAATATGGACTTGGATATCACAACCAAAAACTCTTAGGTGAAAAATATTAGGTTTATGACCAAATACAAGTTATAAAGGTGAACATTAATGATATCTAGTTGATCTTATAAGAACCAATGATGCAACACGTAATGTGACATAACCACAAAAGAAGTTTTTTGTTTTCATAAGTAACAGTCTAACAATAAGATGTAGACGTTTAAAAAACGACTCCGTTAAATCATTTTGTGTAGGGATACGTGCAATTGAATGTTCAATAACAATCCCAATTAACAAACAATAATCATAAAATGCTTGTAATCCAAATTCACTAACATTGTTAAGAAGAATAATCTTCATTGAATAATTGGGAAATTGCTCTCATTATTTTATTATTTTAGCAAGTAGTCTAGCAAATTTACATTCCTAGTGGAAAATATGCAAACATGTGAAAATTTAGTAGAAGAGTAATTTAATATCATAAAATAACAAAATAGTCCACATAGTTTGTGTATACCTTTATATATTGTCATGAATTCTTTCCAAAAAAGTTGGAAATTCAATATTAACATTTGTAATCAAAGGTCTAATGACTAACTTGCTTTGCGAATAAGCTACACATGGATAATTATTAGGTAAAAGAATATTCTGGTTCTTTAAAGGATGCCCATGTAAGTTATATATTATTTGACGCATCATTACAGCTCCTAGGTTTCTAAATCAATCATGCCAAAGTATAAAACTTTTTTGGTCAACGAACTTCTAGTTCATGAAATATTTGATTTAACCATTTTTATAAATAATACATGCCAGATGGGAGTACATGAAGTTTTTCTTTTATTTGCTTCTAGCCAGATACAAAAGAAGTTATGCAAAAATATTCAACATTATTTTCTTACATCATCTCAATATGATATTCATTACAGCAAACATCTTTAAAACTTAGTAAATTTCTTTTGAATTTCCTAGAATAAAGTACATTGTCAATATATAATTTCGTAGTTTTGATCAAATAATACAAGCTCTTCCTGAGCTTTCAATGATATTCGATGCACACGATATCGTATTAACATTATTTTCTGCTAATGTTAAACTCAAAAAATATTTTTTGTTTTGAAAAATAGCATGTGTAATTGTACGATCAATTAAAAAGTTGTCTTGATAATTCATCATGAATCTTCTCGAAATTTCGAAAAATTATATTTTACGTGTTGATAACGTGTTATAAAAAGAGAGAAAATAAAAGTCAATAGACTTGTGTATTTTGTTAAGATTCAAAGTCCTGCATTTATAGAAAAGAATCATGGATACAAAGATAATAATTTCTAGGATTGTAGGGATACAATTGTCAATCATTAAAAAATTTACCATTTACAACAATAGGATAAATTTAGAGTATTTAAATGAATGACTTTAATAAGGTTAATGTTAGAATACAACGTAGATGAATATAATATATTTTTTTTATAAAATTTAAAAATTCAATAGGGATGAATTTCAAGTAAAATAAATAATATAAAAATCATTGATGAAAATAGCGATTCCCATTTTTATTTGATTTAATTCTTATCCATTTAAGTAGATTTTGCATTTAAACTTATCAATCTTTTCTCATTGTAGCAATTATTTTTTAACTTTTTTTTATTGAATTTTTATTTTTAACTTTCTATTAGTTAGTACCGTTTATTCCTCGCTGATGATTTATTTCAAAATATTTTATTTTCATGTTTCGAATTGAGAAAAATATATTTTTTGCATTATTTATTTATTTATTTTCTTAAAATATGATGAAAAATAAGTTGTTTTATACTATTTTAACGAACTTTTGGAAAAAATTATTATCAAATATAAATGTGTTAACTAATGAAAGTTTGAGAATAAGAACGACTTGAAAAATATTTAAGAATATAAGTGCTGTAATTAACAAAGATTAAGAATTATAATATGATGCAATAAATAAAGTTTGTGGTGTAAATATAATTAGCTAAAGAATATACGTATGTACAAGAAGTCTCCCAAAGAAATATTCCTAATTTGCTTCGAATTGAGTCAATTGTTTCCTTTTTCCAGTTCCTGTTACCATATCTCGTCGATTCAAAATCAGCCTGCAGTTGGGAGTCTTTGCCCGCTTATATATCGTCCTCCCCAATACCCTTTCACAAATCCACACCTGAATCTCTATTTCTTGGTCTTTAACTAATCTCTTATTCTTGTGGTGTTCCGATTCCCCACCGATTTTCTCCGCTTCGATTCGGTAATCTGACTGACATGGGCGACAGCCAGAATTATAGGGGGAAAGATCCGTTCCTACGGGATTACAGCGCCGAAGAACTTCGAATTGCTTCCGAGTTCTTGTCCAATTGGCTGCCGCATCTCTCCCGTGGACTCTGCAAGAGCTGCACTGAAACTCTTTCCGATCGAATCCGATCTCTCAATCCAGGTACAAAAACCATCCCTTTATAACTGCTGTATACTTATGTAAGTGTAATTATGTCCGATGTATCTATTTCTGTTCTTATGGACTATAATAATATGGAGAATTTTCAATTTAGCATTAGATTTTTTATTCCCCTTTTCGAAATCTTGACTCCTTAGTGAAATCTCTTCTTTGCATTTGTGTCTGAGTTTAATTGGAGTATTTGATCCCCTAGAATGTTTCTTTTCCTTAAAATTTTTGTGGGTTTTCTATTTCAGTCTGAACGGAGGCTATTCTAAATGTTTAATTAAATTTTGTTTACAGTGGTTACGAAAAATAGGGGATCTTTTCAAAACTATGAATTTACGTTAACTGAATTTGGAAAATAGAATGGTTTTATATACGTTATATTATGCCGCCTTTAAGGATTTAGTTTTTCTTATTTTTTTGAAATTCTTGCGTGTTATTCATTTGGGTTTTCCTTTGGCTTTTGTAGAAATCGATGGTGAATTAAGATCTGGTAAAAAGGAAAAGAAATTTTCTGTTTCGGCTATCATGGATCTGAGTAGAAGTAAAGAAGATTGTGATCGTTCAGTTGGGAGTTGGAAAGATACTATGGATCATTATGATAACACAGATACACATTCATTGGGCAGCTGGAAAGATGAGGCTGATGGGTCGGAGCCAGCTGCCGATGCATCATCAAATAGTGAAACATCTACCTTATTGAGACCTTTTGCAAGCTCGAAGGTGAAAATGTCTTGGGCTGACATGGCTCAAGAGGATGAGCTTGACATGGACGAAGACAATGGGAGTAGTACGTCTGTCAGTGTGCAAGAGGGAACAACATTGGAGGATGCTAAGCCAAAGCCAGGGCTGTCAAGGGAGCAAAGAGAATACATTCGTTTCTGTAATGTGAGGAGAGAGAAAAATTTTATATCTTTCGAAAGAGTTAATGGGAAATTCGTGAACATTCTAGACGGCCTGGAGTTACATACAGGCGTCTTCAGTGCTGCTGAACAAAACCGGATTGTTAAGTATGTTGAGAAGCTTCGAGAGATGGGGAGCAATGGGAAGCTGAAAGGTGAGTTACTGATAAACTACACGTTTTTTCATCTTCATTAATTTTGGATATATCTTTCCCTCTAGTTATCACAATATGAATAATGACTTCTGGACTATTTTGCCTTCTGGATACTGTCAAACTGTTTGCTATCATTCTCTGCTTTATTAATTTCTGGTCAATCTCACTCTCACATGCAATCAACCTTTGGGTTTTAGGGAGGCTTTTTAGTTCACAGACATGCACAGTTAGGAAGTTGTTTGATTTTTTTGATCAGAATGAGCTGTTAAACTAAATTACTTTAGAGAGCAGGATCAATATTTAACATCTTTTTATGAGAAAGGAGCTTAAATCGCATTCTAGTGGTTTCAGGATACATTTGAATCACTGTGCCTAGTTTGCAAATATGCAACTTTCCTTCTTGTGGTTCTTAATACTCGTGCAATCACCATGGGTTCTATGGTGTCAATGTACTTTGCACTCTTGTATTCCACATGGTTACATGCTGCTCTTTACTACATTAAGAATATAATGGTTATTTATGGCAATTTGTGTATGATTTGGATGGCCCTGATCTTCATATTTAATTTCATTGCTTTATTATATATATATCTCTGTGTGTGCGCGCGCTTACCTGTCTATGGTTTAATTTCAGAGCGCACCTACTCTGCGCCACAGAAGTGGATGAGGGGGAAGGGACGCATCACTCTTCAGTTTGGTTGCTGTTACAATTATGCTATTGTAAGTTTCTCTTTTCATCGTAGTTTGGACATAGAACTTTCACTTGTTCAATGTTCACCACATCATTATTAGTAGAAATGTGAAGATATCAATAGCCTTAAGTTCAATTTTTTTTAATGGCAGGATAAAAAAGGCAATCCACCAGGCATTCTCAAGAACGAAATTGTTGATCCTTTACCTCATCTATTTAAAGTTATGATCAAAAGGCTCGTTACGTGGCATGTTCTCCCTCCATCATGTATTCCCAATAGCTGTATCGTCAACATTTATGAAGAGGGAGACTGTATACCACCTCACATTGATAATCATGATTTCGTTCGACCCTTTTGTACCGTCTCTTTCCTTAGCGAGTGTGAAATACTTTTTGGATCAAACTTGAAAATAGTGGGTCCTGGTGAATTCGCTGGTTCTTTTGCAATTCCTCTGCCAGTTGGGTGAGTATTTAGGACTTATTCTTATTAGATAAACATGAAAATTCATGTTTTTTGTTTCTACCCGAGAAATCATCTTCTTATGAATTATTAACTTGTTGCCAAATCTTTTGCCAGATCTGTTCTTGTCTTAAAGGGAAATGGAGCTGACGTGGCTAAGCACTGTGTGCCTGCTGTTCCTATGAGAAGGTACAAATCCAACTAAGTTATGTTCTTCATACTTTCCTCAGTTGCGTTTCTGCATAATATGCTGATTCTTGAATATTTTATGGCCAGGATATCAATTACCTTTAGGAAAATGGACGAATTTAAACAGCCGATTGGATATGTCCCTGAATCTGAGCTGCAAGGGCTTCAGCCATTGCCTTACGAAGTGGACACTTCAAAGAATTACAATCCTTCTAAACAGATGTATTTTTATAAAAACCAAGCATCTGGAAGAGATGAGAAAACAGAGAGAGGAAGGGGATCAACCGGAAGGTACTCGAATGCCCATTATTCAGGTCGAAGCAGACAAGGTCCTGTAAACAGGCCAATGGGACGGGTTAATTTGGAAAAGTGAATTTAGTACGATAATAAAAAGCTCGGGAAAATTGTAGACATATACATATTCTTCTATGATTTAAGGCCTTTCAGTCTTTTAGGACTAGGAGTAGGATTTTGGGTCAGTACATTATACTTGTGTGCCATTTTAGGGATATTCATCGCGTTCTGAGAGTTATAATTCTACGCGAAAACAATAAGTAGCTGGGTTTATGCTTTTTACTTCTTTGACAAATCGGCGTGTATATTGTATTTGAGTTTCGAACTGAATTTGTTTTGGTTTGTGAGTGAGTTGAACTTAAATTTTATTTCTATGAAATAATGCTCTATTTTCTTGGTTATCCACTTTATTCCAGGATTCTGCTACATTTGTTTGCTGCTATTCATCATGCAGTATATTGAAATGTCGAAGATTTACTTCGATTCTTGGTTTACTTTAAGTCTTGGTTTATGGAGAATACTCTACCGCTTTTAATTGATTGATTTATTTTTTATTGGAATGTTTGAAATATAATCGCTTAACGCAATCAATAATTCATAGTGTAAGTTTTTCCGTTTGGATTTCCCTAAACATAGTGTAAGTTTTTTTCATTTGGATTTCTCCCCCTTCCACGACGCAATGAGAATGAGTGGGATGACTATATTTTTAGGAGCCAACTACAGGAAAATATGAAGCATACGAATAATGCAAGTAATGCCTTGAAATGAAACGAAATGAAAATTTAGAATTCACGAGAGAATGGTGTTACACCTTGCGATCGCATTGTTCAACTCATCAGTAAATATTCTATTTCCTTCTTCGATTAAATGTTTTTAAGGATAGCAAGTCTATCACATTTTTAACTGTAGATTATTTCTTAGATTTTTGGATAAAGAAGGTGCAAAAGGAATCATTAAGAAGAATCGAAAATATTCAAGAAATCGAGACTTTTCTTCTTTTTCTTCCTACATTTAGAATCCGGGTGATGTCTCATAATTCAAACATGAATTCTTGAAACTTTATGATGCTTAGCTAAATTTTTAGTGACTAGGACGCGGATGGATCCTTTGTTATGAAATTTTAATGACTTTCAAGACTTTGACTTTTAATACTCCTTTATCTTGGATGCTAGTTATAGTTTTTAATGTTCTTCAATTAAATAGCTACAACTGAATATGTGTAATCTTTATTTTATTCAAGAGAAAGAATAAGAAATATTGTACATTATAAGGGTAATTGGCACAAAACGTCCCTATCTTTCAAGATTTTTGTGAAAAACGTCTTTACGTTTCATTTTTTGGCAATTTCACCCCCACCTTTGCCATTTGTTGCGCAAAACATCCCTGAATCCACTCCTCGTTAAAGTGCACCGTTAAATCAAAGAAAATAAGTTTTTTTATTTTCAAAAGGCAAGGGTAAGATTGTCCAAACACATTTGTTCTTTATTGAGGCTTCATTCCCGCCTTCTTCAAATGTTATGCGTAACTAAAAAGTAATATGAAAATAAATAAAATAATTTGTAAAGAAATATTTCACTCAATACATAAGGATTTTTTAGTTCTAGAAGTTCTCAATCTCCATACCAAGTTTTTTAAATAAGGCTGTGACGACTTTTTTAATAAAATATTTAAGCACCTATTAGTCAATACTTTTGAAAAGTAAAGAATTATTATAATTTTTTTGGAAATATTTTGTCCAAAAAGATTAGACGAAGTTGTTCAAACGAAAATTTTCTAATGATAACATCCTCTAGTAATTCTTCTATAAGAAGTATACTCCCTTTGTCTCATTTATATAAACTGATTTTTTTTTTTACACGAATTAAAAAATCTTATTTAATGTCATTGAACAAGTAATTTCTGTCAAATACATATCTAGTCTATCCTTATTTATATTTGTACAACTTTAAGATTTAAGTGAGAAAATTTGATTATAACTATGCATATTAAATAAATGTATTTTAATAAATAAACAAAACAAAACACTCTCAATAAAGAAATAAAACTATATAATTGAGATAAAAATATTAATAATAAGAAAAATTAACGTATATAAATGAGACGGGAGAGTACATAAATTGTACCAAAAAGCCGCTAACTACTTGTACAACAAGATTGAAAAGTTAAAAAGCTAAAATCCTTTATTTTAAAATTTGGAAAATATATAATGAACTGTCTGATTGATGAGACGTGGGAAGAATAAATTACCACTAAAGTTAAATTTGAGTCGTTTTATGCACTATATGGCTACAATTCTTGACCAAATCTAAATCAAATATAAATAATACAATAATATGGGAAAGATCAAGTTAACACCCTATTTGGATTTTATTTAATTATTGTATTTCCTTTAAAAATTAATACGAACGGACTAAAAGCAACGGACTTTGTCTATACCGGAGTTTGATCGGTCAAGTTATTGAATCTACCACAAACATATTATTGAATGAAATATCCTAACTGTATGTATGAATGAAAATGCGCAAAAGACAATGCGCATTTTCGCAAAACAATGTAAATGTATGAATGTTTTGCGCAAAGACAATATAAAGATATGGATTGTTATCACAAGTTCAACTTCACATTAAATTGGGAAGAAGACTCGTTTTTCTTCCTCATCTTCTCCATTTCTATGTATTGTCTATTCACATAATCACATTTTAATTAATCTTCTCACTTTAACATTTATTTACACCCTTTGTAAGCACAAAATGGGGATGAACATTTCAATTTTATCGACCACATATCCATTGTTTTCATATACGTTGCCAAAATTTTTTTAGCAATCAAGCATTACAGTAGCCATGATGAAGTTCAACCATAAATATAATGCTTTCTATCGTTTTTCCTTATGTATTGAGTGAAATATTTCTTTACAAATTATTTTATTTATTTTCATATTACTTTTTAGTTACGCATAACATTTGAAGAAGGCAGGAATGAAGCCTCAATGAAGAACAAATGTGTTTGGACAATCTTATCCTTGCCTTTTGAAAATAAAAAACTCATTTTTTTTATTTAACGATGCATTGTAACGGGGAGTGGATATAAGGATGTTTTGCGCAATAAAAGGCAAAGGTGGTGTAAAATTGCCAAAAAATGAAAGGTATGGACGTTTTTCACAAAAATTTTGAAAGGTAGGGACGTTTTGTGCAACTTACCCTACATTATAGCATTCATTGTAGCATGATGGCAACGGGTCGTGTATAGGGCAAGTCGGTCATTCCCTTCCTCATATGACGGGTATTTTGTTATCTTGCCTTCTTCCCATATCCGGTCAAAGCAAGGTCAATTATTTATTTATTTTTGTTTTTATTTTACTTATATCTTTAGTTAGTTTATATTACTACATTTTCCTCCAATTTGTTAAGAACAACTTATGTTCTCTTTAAAAATAATAATAAATCTTTTCTTTTTGTTTGATAAAAACTTAAATTTGAAATTAACTTAAAATGGGGCGGATAGTGGGACGACGACCATGTTTTTCGTACTAGCTTCGAGGCAATGACTCCCATTCCGTTTATTTGATTAGGCAAGTAATCCTTACAAGTATTGGGTTGAACAGTGCCATTACTATACTGTATGGTCCGATAGGAGGTGAAGATATGCCACTATGTCTTACATGATTTAATTGGATATTTTTATGTTTCTATACTTTGTTTCATATTTGTATCTTTTATAGAGACATAAGAAGGTTATATGTGAGGATATATTTAATTCTACTTGAGAGAAATTATTGTAAGATTGAGGTTCAGTCCTATAATGATCTAGTACCCGATTTTTCGGGTATTTAGTAAATGAAATTGTTGGTCCAAATTTAATTATGGAATCGTTTAGACTCGATTATGTTCCGTTTGGTTACTGGATTCTATATAATAATTAAATATTTTAATATTACAACAATGCTACATTAATTCAATTAATAATATGTTCAATCTTAGATCTTACAAAACAACATAGTCCAATCTTTTGTATCTTTTGTACGTTTTGTTGAGTTCTTCGTAAATTTAATTGTTAAAATCACGAGAAGGGAAAAAAGGTCAGCTTACAATAATAAAGAGGTGCATAGTCGAGCTTTCAATTCGATTTCTCCATAACTGTATGAACAACACTACAGTAGAATTATAGATTTAGGTAAAACTTAGGTCAGTTTGATTAAATTGGGTTTATATCGAAAATTAGAAATAGAAAAATTATATTTTGAGTTTTTGCTAAATTAATGAATTAACAAATTTATAACAAATTTATTTAGAATGTAAATAAATTTAGACAATTGGGAGATTAGATTATTTGATTCTTGGTTTAAAATAGAGAACCGAAAAAAAATTGTTGGTTCTTGATTCAGATACTCGTTTGAGTATTTAAATTAAAAAGAACCGCTCAATTCAATTCAGGTCAGGTCCGATTCGATTCGAGAGTTTTGTCCAACCCTATATTATTCAACAAAATAGGAATAATAATCAACAAAATTGAGAACGAGTTGTCTAATCTTGAGTTGTGTTAAAACGGATTAATAAATAGGGATTCTTGGTGTTTGCTTTTAATTGACTTTGCAATTTCTTCTTAGTGCTCATTAGATTAGTTTTAGATAATTAGTTGTAAAATCAATAAATTACAATTTGACTATTTAATTAGAGTAAACAATATTTTAGAACTAAGTGAAGTACTTGGAATTATTTTTAGATGATTAGTTATAAAATCATTCACGCTTCATTATTTTTGAGTGTTGTGATTGCTTGCATGTTAGCGTTTTCCCATATACATATATAAAAAGAAAAAAAAAATAAGTAAATTGAAATTTTCAAAAATACATATATATATTTTTTATTGTATACTTGTGTGAATTGGATAGCCATATTCGTTAATGATGATATTATTGGAATTACTAGTGCTTCATGAATTGTTACTAAGTAATGTAACTTGGACTATTTTGAAATGTATTTTTTTTTTAATACTCTTCTTTGAGTACGATAGTCATCTTAATCATCGTTTATCTTTGAAGATGTTATTTTATTAGAATAAGTTCAATGAGCTTAAATATAGATTGTTGAAATTGAAATCACACTATACAACACAATTCTTAAACCATTTGAAAGAATATTTTGGGGGTTATTAGAAAATCTGCAAAAGACTCTCTATTTATTGAGAGCATATTATATATAATAGAGAGCATCTTTAAATTTAGAGCATGTTTGGGGTTCATTATTGGTCCAAAAAAATGAAAAATCTTACCGTTGGAGCACATAAATCCAAGGCATTATGAGAGTGAAGTCAAAAGGTGGGGCCCTTCAACGGTAAAAATTCTTCTAATAATGCAGAAATAATGTGCATCAAACAGCCTCTTAGAGAGTAATTTTTTTAT